TTCAGTTTTGGGTTTCCAAAGAGAATTGGGTCATTGTCTGAAGAAGAAGAAGAATTTGCAGGACTGCAGGAAAAAAGCCTGAAATGACTTGTCCTTGTAGAGAACCAGACACGATGTACCAGATGGTAGCAATCTGTGTTGGAACTTTTCTACAATTTTAAATATGATCATCTCCCCAGCTGTGCAGCATGAACAGGTTTGTGGTTGTGGTGAGGACTGTTTTGCCCAGCTGATTGTAATTATTCTTCCAAAAGTGGATGCAATGTCAAATCTCTGAACTGGTGAAATCACGTTTTTTTTTTTTAAAAACTGACGATTGAGTAATGCAGCTGAGCCAACCTAAAAGGCTGTAACATTTTGATTTCAGAAATTTTGAAGTCTGCTGGCTTAAGTAATTGTAATGTATTTTCTTTCAGATTGCTTTGGTTTGTCCCTGTCTTCAGCGACTCTTTTTTGAGCTAAAACAGGGTAATTCCATAGTCTCAACAATGCACTAATGTTCTGAACAGGAGACTTTATGCTAACTTGCATTAACCACAGCATGACTTGGTACCTGAACCCCTGGATATCCTTCATAAATATCAGTATTCTGCCTATAATTGAATTCTGGCCTGTTGTTTGAAGGGTTACCATCTGCTCCCTTAGTGGTAGGCGATCTGTTTTACCTTTTCCAATCCACAGGGATGCTTCCTCATTCCAGGATGCTTTTAAAGGATATCGACAAATGGGTTTGTGGTCCTGTCATTCAGCTGTACCAGCTTGCTTTTGATATTTTTGGAATGTTGCAAATATTACATCTTCAGAAGTTTAAAAAGATATCCCAGAGGAGAAGCCAATTTAAAATAGATAATTTCACTTTTTTGATTTTACAGATGTCTCCTGTTTTGTCCCTGTAAAGTCAGAATTTTAAAATATTTATTTTTTAGGAATAAAATGGTACTGACAGTATGGGTGACATTTACCTCAAGTTGCTCTGGGTGCAGTAAAAGACAACTGAATAATATGAGGGGGGAGGGCGGTTGGGGGAGTCCAGTTGGGTCAGGAAAGCAGGTTTCATTACCAAAAAGTCTTTTCGCTGATTAATTCATTTTTATAACTGACTATCCTGGGATTTGAATTCCTCTTTGCTTGGCTCTTAGGCACAGTGATCACCAGTTTACCTAAAACCTCTTTTTTTTTGTAACTGTTTTGGTTTCATTAGCCTAATGTCCTTTGTAATGCTACTTTGTGACATTAATGTTTCATTGTGCTATGTGCAAAAATCTGTTTGCTGTGTTATTTGCTTGCAGCTCCGATATTACAAGTTAGCCGTTTTAGATCGCTCCTTCTGACATAGCACCATTTAGAGTAAGCCTCCTGTATTTAGCCCAAGGTGTAATTCAGCCTTCTCCTTTTGAAGGTGCCTTTACAGTTTACTATACCAATTGTCCTTCTAGTCTTAAGAGATTGTATGGTTGTTTTGCATACCATTCTGATTCTCAGATTATCATGAATTTAGCTGAATGTATTCCAAGTTTATGCCATTGCAGGGTCCTAAATGGAATAGAGCTAGAGAGGTGCAGAACTGGATGAACACAGCAGGCCAAGCAGCATCAGAGAAGCAGGAAGGCTGACGTTTCCGGCCTAGACCCTTCTTCAGAAAGGG